CAATGTGATATGACTATAGATAAAAATGTAGTACTTATAAAATATTTATATAAACAAACTCTTATACATAATCATATTAACTTATTTATTTTTCAAGTTTGATGCATATTTCCTACTTTTAAAAATTAACTCATAACATGATATACCTATAATAAACTAACATTTCTAATACAGTTTTATTACTAAACACGCAAATGTAAAATTGGACAATAAAATAAACCGCAATCAACTACATAGCGACCTAAAATGTTCAGTAAACTCACAAGAACACCTTAAGCATAGCGGTATATTATTATATATTTAAACAAAAGAACTAGAATGAAATACATGTTACATATTTTTAATCTTCAGTTAATTTTTTACCTTTATAAAAATCAAAGTTCGCAATACACACACCAAATTTCAAAACACTGAAAAAACAAACACAAACTACTGCGGCGTTTGTTGTGATGTTAGTACTTTAATAATAACTGTTTAAAAAGCGAATCCTTCATATTGTATGGTATTTCCTCCCACCAAATAGGTTGGGGACCTTGTTAAATATTAATGTTATAAAATAAGACCTAAATTGGAGATAAATCGCAATCACAACTACAATAATTCGCATCTAAAATCAAATTAATAATTTATCTCTTACATACCACAGGTAGTACTGCCATTGTTGAATTTGAACTTGATTTGTTATTACCGGAAAGATGACTATATGCATACATTTGCAGAGAAAGTTTATTGCTATAGAATACGTTGTGTATCTTGAAGTCCTTGCGCATATCGAGTTTGTTCGGGTTCATATTGATTTTTTACTGTGTTTTACTGTAAGTTATATCACAGCGTATCCATAACCAGCCTGTCAACTTAGATTATTTACGTGGAAACATGTGTCCTTAGAATACACGCTTATCCAAGAAGTCGGATTTTCAGGTGCATTGAAATTTTGTTTAAAAAACCTCGAGAATGGAGCTTGGACTGCTGTGTAGGAATATAAGCGCTGTAGGCGAAATGCGAAATGTCAATACTCAAAAACAAGTGAAGACAACCGGCTATTAATGAGTAAGCTGTGATAATATACAGGGTGTCTCAGAAATAAGTGCAAGTATTTTAACTGGCAGTATATTTCGATCCTAGAAACACGTCTATGAGTTTTTTTTGCGGAAAAAAATTGTTGAAAATTTAAAATTTTTCTTGACATTTTCCGGGAAATTTTAAAAAACTTTTTAGTGCCACTTGTTTATTCACCTGAGATTTTTCTACAGTGTGTCTAAACCTTGCAGTGCTGCAACCTCCTATGTTATCCACATTCTACTTAGTTCTCTATTTTTATAAAATGATAGACAAATTTCTACACAAAAAATTAGGAATGTTAAATGTCTAGAAAAAAAAGCACATTGATTATTTTTTCCCTAGCAACTGTTAAAATTGCCTTATATCTACCAAAAATAGCAGATAAAATAGTACTTTAACCGCCAGGGTAGATTAAATGATACTTTAACAGCGAGGATAAACTTTTGACTTTTCCACTAATTATATCTCTGATTATACTTCAAAATTTGGGAGGAATGTCATTTTGGCCTTTGATTATCTTCCGTCAAGAGAAATTGGGGTTAGAAATCAAAAGTTGATTGTTTTATAAGCTAAATATTAGCCCCTCTCTATGAATACAACCAACTACCGCAAGCTGTTGCTAGGATATTCTATTAATTTTAATTGTGTTTTTTATACATTGTGAATGATCGTAAACTAAAAAGTATAAAGTGTAATTGAAACCACTAATTCATTCCACTAATTTCGAGGTTCTGAATGAAGCTTAAAACAACAAAAAATATTACGTTAATTAAAATTCTATGAATAACAATCTATCAGAGAAAAAAAATCAACTATATTTTCAGGTTTTTCTTAATTTTCTCTAAAATGGTTTAAACATTTGGAAAAGTATAAACGGGATTGACCATTTTAGAACAAGCAAAAATTTTTGTGAAGAATGCATTTTTCTGAAAATGTCGATAATAAAAAAGTTTTCCTCTTGTAAAGGCAATCGCGCGAAATACGTGCTCTATAATAAAAATTCATATACAAGGATAATATGTATATTAATAATATTTTAAAAACGGTTAAAGATATTATCAATATCAAAATGTTAATTGCTTTTATTAGTTTACAGACATAAAATATTTAGTAAGCTTTGATATAGGTAAAGGAAGTTCTAAGCAATCTATATCTGATAATAAAATTTCTATATTGTATACTAGTTAGTATATGTTAATAATTTGTTAAAATTATGGACAATTTGTTATTTTTTTGGACAATATTCTTGTATTATTTTTATTATTTGTAGTTGTTTTAAACATTAAATGTACTTAAATACTAATAATACATAATCTTTACCTTTTTTAGTATCTTCCTAAACCATTCTACAAACACTGCTAATTCATAATTCAATTTTCTAAACTTGAAATTAATAACACATAACATGATTAAAATAGTGTAATTTTATTAGGTACTCGTATTTAACTATAGGTACTGACTTTGATTCAGAAATCACATGACTTGAGGAAATCAACCTACTTACAGATATTAGAAAAATTGAACTGAAACTAAAAATAAGTATTTTTAAGTTAAACATACACTGGCTAATAATAGTTTTCAAACTTTCAAGATGTAGGTTCGTGGTGTCAATGAGCTCATTAAATTAATAGACCTCGTGTAACCTATATAATATTTACGTATAGTAATTAACCAAATGTATGTTAAAAAAAAACGGCGTCCAGTTGGCTGGAAAATGACGATCGAAGACATTTCTCATAAAAAATGACAACAATTTTCGATCATACGGTATACAGGGTGGCGCACCTCATTCGTCTCGGTTGATTATACGAAAACCGAAAGACCGAATTTTATGGGCATATGTGGGAAGGCAATGTGCATAATTTAAAATTATTTTGAAATGAATAGGGTATATCAGAATTAAGATCCATACCAAAGTTATATTTTTTCTTATGGAACACCCGGTATTTTATTTCATTTTTGGATTCTTGGCCATAAAATAAGGCATTTATTATAAGGGTTTAATATGTTTGAATGCTTTGGTTTTTGAGATATTTAAAGATATTTAAATATGTATGCTATAATATGAAAGTCAACACCCTGTACATTACTTTTCAGAGTTAATTCTTGTGCTGACTTTGAACCCAGAGAAATAAATTTTACTAAAAAATTGTATTGCCCCTTTAAATGTATACAGAGGTATCAAAAATTGTTGGTCTATTTTAAATATTTATTTTACATAAAAACTTCGTTATTTCAAATAAAACACTATATATTTTTTAAAATAAGTCGAAGCATATTTAAATGCTCTTTCAAACTATATTATGGTTTCCTATACCTATCTGGCTCAGATTTTGAATAAAAAGCGATTTATCAGTAAAATTGTAATCAAGATGGCTGGTATCGCCATGGCAATTTGCTAGTGACAGTTAGTCAAATCAAATAACTGGCACCATTATTAGAGTCAGCAGAACAAGAGATTCTTTGAATTTGAAAAACATAAGTTTCTTGGAAAGAAAATGTACAAAAATCATTTTATTAAAAGAATGCTGAAAACCTTGTGTTTTTCATTCCTTTTATAATCTCTTTTATATAGACGTTTAAAAGCTTTTTACAGAGATAATAAAGTAATTGTTCTTCTTTAGTTCATTAATACATTTTTTTATTATTAAAGATAAATAAAATAGCGTTTACATACCTACCTAATTTAAATGGCTGAACTAATAACTATCACTTTTAAAAGTTTTGAAACTTCTTAGGTATATTTATATGCCATGGTGGTTGGCTAACACTACTGGTTGGAAAAGATTTCCCAAACTACTTTACTTTCTTTCACATGTTTTAATATTACGAACTTCTGTGCTACTAAAATCATCTGAAACAGGGACACTACTAAATTTGCACTTTGCATCGTGTTAAAAGAATAATAATTCGAGAGGATTCGCAAATTAATCTCACTTATAAAACTAAAACTGCTAATTAGTGGAAAGATGAGACTTAGATATGTCGATTTTAAGGCTATCTACAATAATAATTATTATATTGTATGGGTAGGTATTTCCGATGTATAAAAAATATACCAAGTTTTGGAGATTATATATTTCAAACCGCAAAATACCATCAGTTATTTAGAAAGCGAATTAGGTATTAAACATTTTTTATAGTTGCCATGACTGCATTACAGTTATAAAATCATACAATTTGAATGCCATACGAGAATTTCGAAAACTGTGAAAAGTGTAATTTGTTTAAAACCATACAAATTTACTAAGGTTTCGTTTTGTTGAAACCGTATTTAGTTCATATACATAGTTACGATAATTTCGCTGCCCAACATTATTGGGATTTCGGAAACTACAATATACAGGGTCAGTCTTAAATAAGTGCAAATATTTTCAGGGCTGGTACATCTCAATAAAAGAAACATATTTTCTCTTTACCATTTTTCAGATAAGTCCAAAATAACCTAGTTATTTAAGTTTGAAAAAAATGATATTTTTTTGAAAAAATTTTGAGAGCCACCGGATTATTTAATCCTAACCTAACCATAGAGTAAAGCCGTAACCACACCGTAGCTAATCAGAGATTAAGAAATTATACCGTGGGAAAATTTGCGGTGAACGGGCAGTTCTAAAAAGTTTTCGAAAAATATACAGGGAAATTTAAAAGAAAATGCACGATTTTCAACATCTTTTTTTAGCGAAAAAAAACTCATAGACATGTTCCTGGGGTCGAAATATACCACCCCTGAAAATATTTGCACTTATTTAAGACTCACCCTCTATAGGAAATCAGTATAAAAAGACCAAAATTGCCCTAATAGGTAGATAGTTGACAATTGCCTGTAAAATCAACCTCGGCATATTGATTCCTTTCAAATTTATGTATACATATACTCTATATCAATATTATAAATACATATTTCCTAAATACTATGTGTACTAAAAAAATCAACAAAATATTTTAACATTCATTTATTCAAATAAAAAAATATAAACAATATAACAGATCTCTTTAATTTGATTCGTATAACTTTGATATACCCTATCATAAAATGACAGAAGGAACATTATAAAGGTCGAATATAAATACAAAATAAATTATAATAAAACTTTTAACAAGAGACACTCACTCAACTGTTATTACAATTAACTTTAAACATATCCTGGAATAATCCAACATAAATTACTTAAAACAAGTAACTTAAAATAATTTACAAAACTTATTCTAGTCAGATAAAAAATATTCGTTATTATATAAGATTCAGAACGTTTTCTTTAGTATTTAACAATATTATAGTAACCTTACATAACAGTTAATCACAATTTGTACAACAAAGCTAATAACTGGGCTTGAATTACTGAAAGCTAACTCCATATTTTTCCGTAACTTCAGGCGAATGGGTTGAAGCGACAGCTAGTAATAGAGGCACATCGTTAACTTCCACTTTTAGAGCTGACGTTAGCAGCTCGATGTTACAGAACTCGCTAGCCAACAGCACTTCAGCTAAAGCTCTAGACCTTAAGCACAGCTCCTGAAGTTTTTGCTCCAAATGGAGAAGACACTAAAAAGACATCACCTTTAACAAATATTGTAATGAAACTAAAATAATTTCAGAATTCCATTGTCTTTATTTATTTTGATTAATCTATTTATCATATAATAGAATTATTATGAGGCCCTTAGTGTACTAGCAAACCCCAGTAGCGCTTCGAGTTCCTACATCGATCTAGGGGCTTTATTTTATTTCCTAACACTTATTTAGCACTGGTCGTTAAAATTCTAAAGTTATAGAGATATTTTGTGGACAAAAGTCTGTCGAAACCAGCGAAAATTTTGACAGATGATATCAAAGAATGACAGAAAATACAATTTATCGGTGAATAGAAACATCAGACACAACCATATAAAAACTGAATGTCAAAATGTGTTCTAAATATATTTTAGGCGACAGTAAAAAGAATATAAATAATACGTTTCGTTTAATTAATTTGAAATAAGCCAGCACTTTTTTTCCAAAAGATACATCAGTTTTAATTGAATTTGAAGTTACATCAGAGTTATAAAAAAGATGATATTAAAATTTATTAAGCAAGTTATTAAAAATACATTCCTTCAGTCCAATGATACTCTATACTAATAGTCCAAATTGACACCAAACTGTCAATTTGCACTATTTGGTGCAGACTTTAGGAATTACATTTTAATATTATCAAAAAATACTTACGTGTTGAGCAGGAATGTGTGACTTCCACATCTGCAAAAGAGATTCAAGCATACTTGACACCAACTGAGACATCCCAATTCTAACACCACTTGACCCTTTGTCAATAATGTATGTATGACTAGATATTAGTTGAACTTCCCTAAATTGGTCAATTATTAAATTAAGAAAACTGAATAAATGAAGTAACTTACCAATCATCAATGTTAGCTACAATAGCCAAAGATTCCTCCACAGGTTGATCTAATAAGGAATGTTGAGTGTGACCTGTTAAATTTCTCTTCAGTTTAGACTCCCAATCAGTTTTTCGACTGGTTGTTCCTTGTAAAACCATATCTGGAATGTAGTTTTCCACAAGCCCTTTCATTACTGTAGATGGGTATGGAACAGATGGTTCAAATTCATCTTTAGTTATTGTTCTATATAAAAATAAGCTTTTTTTAGTTAAAGAAAATGATAAACTGTAATTATGCTTACTTTGGCATGGGAATGCTGATTAACTTCATCATCCTTCCAACACACTCTACTTTAGTTGCTTCTTTGGCTTTGTCTCCTCCTACTTCTATGCACATATCAGTTGTAAACTCCATTTCGGAAGCGTTGGATGGCGTTTGTAGTCCTTCAACCTGCTCAGAATCGCTCTCGTATCCAGAAAAATCTAAACTGACATTATGCTGAACAGTTGCAAATTTGTCAAACACCTTTTCCCCCAATGACAATCCTTCTAATTCAATGTTTTTGCTCTTCATGTAGTTTTTAACAACCTGTGGATATTGTTGAAGATTGAATTTAACTTGTGAATACGGATATTTTGGATTAGTTAATTTTTTGTTTTCTGGTGGCTCACTTTGGGCTCTTAAAACATTTTTTGGAGCAGTGTTTTGTATATTATATTTCTTTTCATCTAGGCAAAGCGACTCAAATGACGAGCTAGATATCAGACATCGCTTATCCGTTTTGGAAAAATCGGTTGATTTGGTTTCTGTTCTTTTAGATGTCTCAGGATACATTTTAACTAAACTAAGAGAAGATGGTCGCTTGGTAGTTGAGACTTTTCTTTTGGCACCTGAAGCAATGTTTAACTCAGTCTGAGCTTCTTCTTTTTTGATCCCTACCAATTTTTCATCTTCTCCCAGTACAAAAATTACATTCGATTTATCTCTCACGATATTTTGATTTATATCACAATTACCCTGTTTCTCCAGTTCAGTCTTTTTCTCTAGTTGGGATGTGTTTAATTTTTCTAAATTTTCTTTACTAGGCTCATCCTCAATTGTCTCTTCTCTCAAGTTCTCACTCAAAACTGTAGATAATCTCCTCAAAAGTCTGCCATCATCTTGAAAACCTTCAGCGTGTGGATCAACTTCATTTTTAAGAACGATTTCGGAGAGGTTAACTCGAGTCTTTACTTTTTTCAAACGGTTCATTGATTTCAAAAAACTTGAATGTTTCTCATCTTCTACATCACTGAAATTCAGTCTACTACCCCTCCTAAGAGGTTCAAACGCTTCTTCGGTTTTCTTACTTAAATAAGAACTAGAAGCGCAATCAGGCAACATTTCCTTCAAATGATCTTCATACCTTTTATAGTACTCCTTCGGAATGCAATTGTTATTACTGCAGATCATTTCAGCATAACTATTTTCTGCATCCACGTTAACTCGCTCCAGATTTTTTCTTTCTACTGTATTGAATCGAATGAAGTATGTAAGAGAATTGAGGATTTTTGTTATGACGTGATTTTTGTTTGTTCCTGTAATTACTGTTTGCGCAGTCTTGGCAGGATATCCGACGGCGCCGTATAGATCAATTAGTTGTCCCCAGAGAGCATTGTAAGGTTGCTTAGAGATAATGGTACCATCATCGGACGAGCAAACCGTTGTAACCCATCCCAAATGATGAGTGAGAACCGCCGTTAGTAACGTACTTATAAAGCTGGAAAAAAATAAGAAAAAAATTATATTCTTTTTGAAATAAAATTCATGAAAATGATAACTGGTATTTGATCATTTATTAAAGTTCGCTATCAAAATGACCTATATTAGTTTTATAGTCTGTCAGTGATAATTATTTCCGTCATTTTAATTCACAGATAATTTATTGGAAACACTTTATTTTCAATGCATTATGCAGACTCTTTAATTTTTTATAAATATGTGCAGTATTGATAAGAGTAAATTATAAAATAAATACTTTTGCATAGCTATGGTGACACTTAAGGCAACATTAACATAAGAGCGGTCAGAATTACTATCAGAGAGGTGCATCAGCGGCGTGCGTGTCAGGAACAGGAAAATAGTAAAGGACACTAAATTTATTGCGAAAATGATAAATTGGAAAGCAGAAAAGGTCTCTTAAATTGTTATCCAAGCAGTAACTTTTTAACTAAACAAAATTCAGCATAATTAAATTTTTCAATTATGCAGAATTTCCAATAGGTAACAAAAGATTGATGATACTGTCAAGGCCACAAAAATTCTCCGTTATGCAAAAAGTGGGGTTATATTACAAAGTATAAAAAATAGACTATACGTCTGTACCAAATTTTATAAGTACACAAGAGCATTCAAAATATACCAGTTTTTCGATTTGTTTAAAAATAGTATTTTTTGTATGAATGACATAAAACAAAGAAAAAGGAACAAATAAATTCTAATACAGTAATTGTGTTTTACTGTCCTGCAAAATATTGTAAAAAACTAAAATTGTTAATTTTCATACTAATAACTTTCTTGCAATGGCCTAAAGAAAACTAAAATATTGAACAGATTCAATGTAACTATACAGACTTATTAAATAACCTGATACTCTCTCTCTCTCTCTCTCTCACACACAACCAAACCAAAACACATTAACAATTATAAGCAAATTGATTTTTGCTATTTTCTGAATGTCTGTCAAAATCAAATGTTCTTACTGGATAGCTCGATTGTTTTCAAAGCCGAGAATGATAATTTAATCAATATTAATAAAATTTGTCAGATAAAGCAATTAACACTTACAAATTCGTATTCTTTACATCATAAACTTCTATTAACTCGCAAAACTCCTTTAGAAACTTTTCCCCAATGAAACAGTCTCCATCTAAGCTACGTTTGCCGTTTTTTTCCGAGTCAGTCCTGAGAAAGTTCGTCAAATTAAAATTAAAAACGTCAGTTCTTATCAACTTCGAATATCCGTTAAAGTTCGTCTTATTCTCACTCCACGGCGCCACATTCGCGACAGTTTTCTCGTTCCGACAAGAAATAAAGTTCTGACAATTAAACTTCGGCACTGACGCGTTAATACTGGTTCGGTTATCACAATCCGTGGATAAACAGTGCCACAGATTGATAAGGATGCGGGGAGCGTTCAACAAGTTAACCAGACCCCAAGCGGTAGTTTGAGCTATGTTCACCATTGAAGATATGAAAATGTTTGGTCGGTGGTAGGCCAATTCGATGGATTGGCGAGTCCTCCAAACGATGGCGTCGAGAAGAGCTATGTGTTCCATAAAGAACAAAGTCAAAAAGCTGCAAATTAAAATGATAAAGTCACTAAAAAATTTGTATAGTAGTTTATTGTTTTATTAGAAGTAAAAATGACACTTTTTACGTTTAACGACATTACAGGCGAGGAAGAAAAAAGTCATTTTTACTCCAAATAGAAAAAGCTATATTTTTTTCAAAGTCACAAGTAATTTTTTAAACAATTTCCAACGTTACAAATTATATAAGTAAATTATAATAAGTAATAATAATAATTTAAAAGTAATACCTTGTATTTAATTATATATAGAGAAATTATGGTTACGCTAGTTGAATTTGACACTTAATGTCAGTTTAAGAATATATTTTCCTACTTTGGTGCTTCACTTTTATGCCTATGCGTTAAAATAACCTTTTTATAATGCATAGATAAAGGAAACAAGTTTAGATTGGCATGCTCGGCTTGCCGCCAAAACTTATAATTGTTTTGGGGCACATTCGTTGTAGGGCGCTGCTGTAGCGGTTGCTAAGAATAACCGCAAACAAGAACAGAAATAATATACGCTTGGCAAAAGACAGAATCTTCAAAAATTATAAAATCTTTCAAAATTTAAACCGACCTTATTGAAAAAGACCGAAAAGCTTTTGAAGTGTTCATTTTCAAAGTAATTATTGCTATCTAGTGAGATTAATTTAAATTTTATTTACTCAAACCAGTGATAATTGTGAAAAAGTGGCATTAATACGTGAATTGTGATAAAGTGGCATATTTCATACATGTCCTTATATAAAATAAAGTTTCTTATATGCAACACACTGTATTTTATTTAAAAAAATAAAAGAAAATAATAATAATTTTGAATAAATAATATTTAGCGACATAATTCCGGGAAAAAGCCCAACCGCTCCGAAATTATCAAAAACTTTGGAGAGCGACCGTTGTAACAAAAGCGCCAAACACTATTTACATTGTCCTTATGGGCACTTTCCAATCTAAACTAGTTTCTTTTACCTATGTTATAATGTCAATCACGTCGCAAACATTATTACGTTTGAAGAAAAAAAAATTAACTACTCACTCTTTATTTTCAGCTGGTGTGTCTACAACTATACTCAATCCTAATTTGCTAACTCTTTGGTGGCTCTTACGCAACACTTCCTCTGATGAACTCGGCAAAGACGTCGAACTCTGCTTTAAAGATCTGGTCGAATTTCTCAGCAACTTCTTAAATGCGTAACACGACGAAAATGACCGTCCGGGAGAATCTAGGATCGTCAAAATACTCCTATAAAGCATGTTGTTATTTTTCTATGTGAGTATAAGTTACCAAGAGAGGAAAACACTGATTCCCACGTTGAAAAATTTATGGGTCCGGTACTGACACTGGAAAATGAATGATCTGCGCAACCAGAATCGACCACTAAACTGTTTTTGGAAATACTGGATACTAGTCGTCTAGGGACATCCAACGGGCTACTTTGTAATCTTCTACATACTGTAAAAATAAAATGTATGATAAGACTTTACTGCAGTTATTTTTTTTTATTTTATGCAGTTATTTTTTTTTGTAAAAATAAAAAGTATGATAAGACTTTTATGCAGTTATTTTTTAGAAGTATAAAATTTCTTATCTATTCAAACTACACACACCGGAAAAATCTAGGGATATAATTTTATTAAAGTTAAAAATAAATGTTTTGAATAAACAACCACATATTTGTAGGCCGATTCTTTCTACTTCGATTGAAACGAAGTAGTCACACTAGTTATTTCTAAATGTGGGATATTTGCAGAATTGTTCGAATTTAACCTGTACTGGCTATGTTTTTATGATAACTAGCCAGAATTCATTCAAATAACTCATTATGGAGCGTAGACATCTTAACAGAGACGAAATGCTAAGGGCCATGGGTATGCTCGAAGCTGGAATGCGCCAAATCGACGTAGCATTACCATTAAATACAACGCAAAGTGTAATATCGCGATTAAGTGCACGCTACCGTGAAAGTGGTGATGTTGCTGAAAGGCACACAGGGCGACATTACTACCCCTCAGCAAAATCATTTTTTACAATTAAATGCTCGACGCCGACCGACTCTTACAGCACCAGAGCTTAGTTTAATTCTCCAGGAAACACATAAGGTAACCGTTAGTCCTGACACTGTTCGCAATAGATTAAGAGAGGTCAACTTAAGAAGCAGACGCCCCTGGAGAGCTCAACCCTTAACAAGAGGAAATCGAGAGGTCGAATGAACAATGGGCCAATGTTCTCTTCACGGATGAGTCACGCTTTGGAATTCATCCAGATTCGAGAAGGCTTAGGGTAGAGAGAGAATCGGGAAATCTTATTCGGTTGGATCATGTTCAGGAAGTGCATCCTTATCAAGGTGGAACAGTTATGGTCTGGGGAGGAGTACAGTTAGGCCGAAAAACCGATCTCGTTTTTCTTGAAAGGTTTCTAACAGGAATCACATATCGTGATTTAATTCTTGAGCCTGTCGTGTTACCATATGCCAATGATTTTGGGAGAAACTTCATTCTCATGCATGACAATGCCCGGCCTCATACAGCCAGAGTGGTAAGTGAGTTTATCAATGCTCATCAATTAAATATCTTACCCTGGCCGGCCCAATCTCCTGACCTCAGCCCCATCGAGCACGTATGGGACGCGGTCCAAAGAAGAATTTTGAGAATGGGTATGCCTCGTGAAACTCGTAGGGATCTGGTTTGGGCCATACAGCGTGGCAGGCTGTACCTCAAGAAGAGATCGACAACCTGATCAGGAGCATGGAGAGACGATGTAGGGCTGTAATGAACAGTAGAGGAGGCCATACCCTTTATTAAGTAAAATTGGTTTTATCTTTTTTTTTATTCACAGTTTAGATCGACCACTAAACTATTTTTGGAAATACTGGATACCAGTCGCCTAGGGACATCCAAAGGGCTACTTTGTAATCTTCTACATACTGCAAAAATAAAAAGTATGATAAGACTTTACTGCAGTTATTTTTTTTTATTTTATGCAGTTATTTTTTTTGTAAAAATAAAAAGTATGATAAGACTTTTATGCAGATATTTTTTAGAAAGTATTATATTTATTATCTATTCAAACTATATTCCATTATAGTTTAAACACAATGGTAGATATGCTAGCAATAAATCTGATATATCTAAGAAGCATTCCTGTAAATACAAAATTTCCGGATTTTAATAAAAATACGATATACAGGGTCATTCAACACGTAGTATTGTAGCCAAGTGATTAGATTTTTAAAAATTGTGGGCGATGTGATCGTTGGAGGACTATTAAAGCTACAATTTAAAATTATTTTTAAAAGGTACAGAGTGTGCCAAATACATAAAAAGGATCAAAGTTGTATTTTTTAAATGGAACACCCTGTATATTATTACGTTTTTAGTTTCTACGATTGAAATAAAGGTAAATTTGATTAAGGTTTATCGCAGTTTAACCTTACCGTTTTTGAAAGATTTACGATTTTGCGAAAAAGCAGTAACAATTTTAATTATTTATTTCCCTAGGCGTATTTAAGTTTTTAAAACCAAATATTCTACTGAAGTTTTTCTATTTACTAAATTTTGTGTTGCAATATAAAAATAATACTACCTTATACAGAGTGTCTAAAAATGTATTTATTATTAAATAATCACTAGCTTTAAACGGCAATAACTTGTTTAAATGAAACGGAAAACCTTGTATACTTTACGTGAATTAGATGCACAATTTAATTACCCGGGATCCTGAAAATCTCGAAAAATGTAACTGCCCAATATAAAATGATTCACACTTTAGTCTTTCAAAGATCATATGTTATTCATACTAAACAGAACGTCAATATCTTAAGTATTTCCTCGGAATAAATTTCTCATTCTGATAGTCAATCCCGGGATTATAGGTTCTAATTCCAGGATTTCAAAACGTGGTCCAGATCCCGAAAATTGGAAACCCTACTGTCAATGTTTTAACTTTATCTATTAACATTATAGATTATAAAGTAGGTGTTACGTTATAAAAGATGTTGAAATCTTAAGAATTAACGTTTTTGAAATGTTCTATATTTATACTGTTGTTATAATATAACATACTGCTCATACCATTCGATAATATAACTTAAAATATAACTAAATAGTTTCATCTAATTTTTAATTACTGACAATGTATTAACGTTGTCTCGTTGTATTTACTTTAAAAATTAAAAATAACTACATCACATAAGTCTCCTCGATGTTAAAGGATAAATATTTAAACACAAATACGGCTTGCACCATTCAAAATAAAGGACGATTTTTTTTAAACAATTTAGTCCTTTAAAAACTATTTTTATTTTTAGATTTCACTCGATAAATTTGGAAGTCAGTGATTTGGATCTTATAAATGCTATGTTTAACTATATTTAGACACAATTGTTTAAAAATTTCTAACAAATTAAGATTGATTACAAATCACACTCAAAATAGAAACAATTGAACAAACTAGTTTATTCAATTCAAAACTCAGTAGAGTGTTATTTACAAATATATGTTGATAATATGGTGCTCAAGATTACCTACTTAATAAATTAAAATGTATCACGCACATCGTGTTTTAAATGATGTAAAATAAATAAGGATTGTACTGTTTTTCGTTGTTTTAATAATTAATTGCCTTTTATTATTGGAAAATACAACAGATTTTTTTTTAATTGTCATAGTCCAATTGATCCTAAAATTTTTGTATCACACGGTATATTTTTAACTGTACAAGTTTCTAATATATTCGGGAAAAAAGAATTTTAATAACAATTAATTAATTATAGAAATTTTATCAGGCATAGCGACAATAATAGGCTATTGACAGTCTTGCGTACATTGTTTGTCATAATGTGTTGTATTTTTAAAGAAATTCTTAATAAATAAGTACAGATATTTTGAAGTCAATTATTTCGATTATATATTATTGAGATTGTTTAAAAAGCTCAGAGAAAGGCTATAAAAAGATTAATAAAGACAACTTCCAATTCTGTTCAATATTCTTCTTTCTAAACGAATATTAATACATACTGGCGGTATAGACAATTATTGATGTTAGAAAGACCAATACGGAGGTCTTATTAACATGAATAACGCCGAACAACGGGGTAAATTTTTCAAGTACGGCGATTGTTGCCAAATAAATAAACAATACCGGCAATATATATTTTAGTAACAGAAATACCGCCCATATTTTACCAAGTTTTATGTGTTATTGTTTTTCTGAACGTAAGTTCCTACTGGCTAAATTACCATCGGTGGTATAAACAATTATTGACGAAAGAAAGGCCAATACGGCGGCCTTATTAACATGAATACCGCCGAACAATGGGGTAAATTTTTCAAGTACGGCAGTTGTTGCTAAATACACAAAGAATACCGGCGGTATAATTTTTTATTAACAGAAATACCGCCATATTTTACCAAATTTTATGTGTTATTGTTTTTCTTAACGTAAGTTCCGTCTTGTCAAAATAAAACTACATTTCATTGCATACAAAAAAAAATATTTTTGACATGTTAGATACAAAATAAGAAAGCAACAAATACTAAAAATTCTTATCACATAATCGAAATACAAAAATAAGGGTTATGTTATCATTTCGAAATGAGTTCGTCAGAATGGAGGGGAACTCCAAACAGTAATGATTTGGCGGTCAGTGGACCTTAAGTTAGGTTAAGAGCCCTAGCAATCAAAACGCAAAAACACGCTGTAACTGCGTTTTGATTACCTTGGATAGACAATGACATTCTGAATAGAAAGACATATCATATGCCAACTTTTGACATTTTCGATTATTAAAAAATCGTATTTTAAATTTCAATCTGCAATGAGATAAGTGCAATGGCTATATTAAAAACACTACTTTTTAATCAAGGAGCCTTGGAAAAATAGATTTGATAGTCTAATGTTATTAGCGTCTTGTCCTGACCGATTAAAAGATGTCCAAATTGTATTTTTAATCATATCTCAATTTTTTCAAATGGAACGAGGGTGGCTCATTAGCATATTTGGAAAAAGCATTTTTTTACGAATAATTTTATACCACACACTTTGTATTTGAGTTAACTTTTCGTTATGAACCGCATGTTATAATTTCAAATAAACCATATGCGCAAATGTCAAAAGTTGACATATGATATGTCATTCTATTCAGAGTGTTATTTTCTATCGAATAAAGCAAAACAGTTCCGAGGGTGCCATTTAAAAATCAAAAGTTGTAGTCATTTCCGGTGAAACAGGAAGTAACCGAATACCTCAATCAATCCTAATTTATGTCATATACTAATATATCTAATCTCGTTTTTTTCTCGTTCGATCCACTTTTGAGACGCACCCAGTATATATTTGTTTTTTTTTTGTAGACACTAACAATGCTGTGGATTTTCTTGGATTTATTTATCAAAAGTGGATTTCTGGTGTACACATTTTGGTCAGGAAATTTACTAACGACATCTAGAGAAATC